AGAACCAGGGAATGACAGAGGTAGGACCAGATATATTAAAGACACGAAAAACCTGTTACCTGCGTTTTCACAGGTACTTCGCGTTTCTAATAGATTTTATTTACTTAAGTACGTCAGACTTTCAATTACACATAAAATCGATACTTTTTACCATACACCTACCTGATCTCTAATGCTCAAGTCGAGCTAGCCAAAGATAGGAGAGATCTTTAAGGCTCGATGCATGCAATCCATAAATTAATTGATTCATTTTAGGAGAACTAAACCCAGTCTTTAAATGTCAAATACAGAAATAAAGGCTGTAATATATTTTCTGTAAACGATAAGAATGGTCATGGGTATGACGAAACTGAGTGGGGTAAAGAAGGTTAGGTGTACAAATCGAGAACAAAATATTTCTTTTGTAAGTCTTTATTTTTTTTTAAATGTAAATATCTTTTCGTCAATATGCCAGTTTGTATGCTGAAATGTATTACCAAAATGTGAATGTCTGACTTGTAGACCTAAAGAAGGCAGTCATTGTTGAATATACATTCAGTGAGCTGGAGGAAATGCCAGTAGTTCTAGATTTGGTGTAATGGAATAATCTGTTAAGCTTGTAAACTTTGTGTCTAGTGAATTCCTTGTGGCTGGTCATATTTTCGTGAATTAGTTTTGTTGCTAATTATTTCTTAGTGACCCAGTTAGGCGTTGAAGAAGTGGTAAATTCTTTGGGAACTATGTTCAGTTTTGTTCTCCTATTGCATCCTAGTGAACCAGTTAATTTATGTTTGCTATATCGTCTTGCGGGAGCCGTTCTGGTGTAGCGGCTAGATACTGGCATGCGGATCGGAAGGTCGTGGGTTCTGGCACTCACGGGGACCGACCTTTTTTCGAAAATTACTTTTACTCCCAGATTGACCCAGCTTTGAGTGGGTTCAAGGTATAGTCATGAGAAATAAAGGCGGCCGGCGTGATTTTGAGCACACACCCAGCGAGTGTGGACTGGTCTATAGAATATAGGTCTTTCCTTTTTTGCCCAAAACGCCTCAAGGCGTGGAAAAGGGTCCTTTACTTTACAAACATCAGCCTGTGTGATTAAGACAGGTTTTGGCAAACTATTTCTTCTCGTTGACTATTGATCGTTAGATGACAGTTCGGTCTTTGTGAACTCAATATGTGCTATAGTCAGGTCTTGTGGAAATTTTGAACAGAGGTCGATTTTGTACGGTCATGGTGGATGTTTAATTGACTGGGCATCCAAAGAAGTTGGGGCAATGTAGATATGTGAAAGCATTATAAATACACCATTTTAAAGTTATAAACACGGTCAGTTTTGAGGCAGAATAATGCATAATGATACCATCCCATATCGATTTAAATTCTCCCAAAGATAGATTTCACAATATGATTATCACAGTTATTTAAAAAATACATTTAAACTATTTAAAACTCCACAATCCATACTCCTAAAATCTGTTACAGTGGATACATATCCAATGCAATATTATTAACCAAAAGTAATTCATAAACATATATATTCAGTACTGAAATAGGGAAATGTCCCTGTCTGTTTAGGGGTCTCATTGTAGGGGAAAACATGAATTGACTCACTGCCTACATACCCCCTTCCACACCCCCTCCTTCCCAAAAGAACATGCAAGAGTCGACTAATTGGGAGCTTCCTTCGATGTCGGAGTGCATCTGCCCGAGCGACAAGAAACAACCGACTGCACTCAAATAAGACAGTAAAACAGATGTACACACAAAACTCAGGATCTGACACAAAGCCAAACTCCAAACGGACGAACAACCAGGACTTTCCGCCAAGGCTTGAAGCTGGTGAACAAAGAAGAAGAAGAAGAAGAAGAAGAAGAAGAAGAAGAAGAAGAAGAAGAAGAAGAAGAAGAAGAAGAAGAAGAAGAAGAAGAAGAAGAAGAAGAAGAAGAAGAAGAAGAAGAAGAAGAAGAAGAAGAAGAAGAAGAAGAAGAAGAAGAAGAAGAAGAAAAGAAGAAGAAGAAGAAGAAGAAGAAGAAGAAGAAGAAGAAGAAGAAGAAGAAGAAGAAGAAGAAGAAGAAGAAGAAGAAGAAGAAGAAGAAGAAGAAGAAGAAGAAGAAGAAGAAGAAGAAGAAGAAGAAGAAGAAGAAGAAGAAGAAGAAGAAGAGAAGAAGAAGAAGAAGAAGAAGAAGAAAAAGAAGAAGAAGAAGAAGAAGAAGAAGAAGAAGAAGAAGAAGAAGAAGAAGAAGAAGAAGAAGAAGAAGAAGAAGAAGAAGAAGAAGAAGAAGAAGAAGAAGAAGAAGAAGAAGAAGAAGAAGAAGAAGAAGAAGAAATAGGAAAATAATAAAGAACGATATCCAAGTTATAATCCATCTTTGCTGAATTGAATATTGTTGTTCAAGTGACTACGAGCAAAAGCATGTACACACGTAGTGAATGCTGCATAAGATCAAAGGCAGGGTTGTCTAGAACTTTTATAGTGAACTCTGGTGTGCGTCAGGGCTGTGTACTATCGCCGCTTCTTTTCATAACATACATGGACGCCATATGTAGCGAAACAGACTTTAATCAGGAAGAAGATATAACAGAATTACTTTTCGCCGACGACCAGGTACTCATAGCAGAAAATATGGAATGCCTACAGAACCACCTAAATCAAATTAGTAACAAAGGGGAGGAATATAATATGAAAATAAACACTACGAAGACAGAGACAATGATGATAGGAAGACATAATGACAATTTAGAAATTAAATTAAAAAACAACACCCTGAGACAAACAGAGGAATTTAAGTATTTGGGAGCAATTTTTACTTCAGACGGAAAACTGGACAGAGAAATTAGCTCCAGATGTGCCAAAGCTAATCAAGTAATGGGCCAACTATCTCCCCTGTTGACACACAAGCAGATACCTCAGAGTACTAAAGTGAATCTTATCAGAACTATTTTTTGGCCAATACTATGCTATCAGTGCCAAACGTGGACACTTACATCCGCCAATGAACGTAAAATTGTGACAACAGAGATGAAATGCCTTAGAAGAACTGCAGGAGTTTCAAGGAAAGACAGAATACAAAATCATGAAATCAGACGAATGCTAGGAATAAAGCCAGTCTTACAGGTCATCAAAGAACAACAAATGAAATGGTTTGGACACCTAACAAGAATGCCCTGGTACTATCTGCCACAGCGAGCCACACTAAAACGTTACAACGGGTATAAAGCGAGTGGAAGACCTCGGAAAAGATGGAGTGATGGCATTAAGAACAGCCTTACAGAAATGAACATCAGTCTTAATAGTGCTCTTGACAGAGCTCATCAACGAACATTACATCTCCCCCCGACACTTCGATGAGGTACAAGGTGGAAGAGAAGAAGAAGAAGAAGAAGAAGAAGAAGTGACTACGAATTCACAGCCTGATTTGAAACTGTCGTCTTCAAATGGTAACATCGTCTCGCTGAAGAAACAAGTCTACTTCAAATACACTGTTATAATATGGAGGGAGCGGTTTCGAATCCGTGTCTGTCTGAAGCTTTCAATTGTTACACCACCAAGTATATTTTAAAATTTATACCTTATTCCCCCATCTACTTCTGGGTGAGTGAATCATAACGTGTTATTTTACTGTCTCAGCTGGTTACTATAAGTTAATACTTTTACGAGAGTTCCATGCGCACGCAAACGGATGGTATGAAACTGGTCCCGTATTACCTGCAAGAGAGAAGCAAAAGTCTGTACATTTCTGAAACCTACAAAGATGTGACTATACCATCCTACGTTGGTCATCTTTCATACACTGACCAGCTTGAGGCGTTCATAAGTCGATACAAGCGCCGACCAGCGGACATCAAGTACTGGCCCTATGGCCCATACTGGCCAGCCCACTTTGAAGGACTGCTACTGGACACCCCACGGCACCTAGTGGTGGGTCTGCAAGGATGCGAGCCCTTGGTTGTTGGGGAGTTCGGTCGTCATCTGCTAGGTATGCTTCTAGAGATTCTCTTTGGTAATAACATATTTTTCTTTTCAGTTGCTTGTTCGTGAACAGGCATTGGCAATCATGACTGCACTCATCTCTGCTCTCTTCTTTTAATGAGGACTTTAGTTCTTATGTTATGTGCATTTATGTCTATACCAATCTTTGCTTGGATTTCTTACCATTATCTGCCATCGGTCAATCCCTTCAATTTTTTTGCGGGGGGGGGGGGGGGGGGGGGGGGGTAGGGGGTGGGCACAATTTTAATTTAAACCAACTCCTCTTCTACAGACTAAAATTGACACACGGAAGTTTTAGGGGAAGTAAAGTAGGCTGGTTTTATTCTGACCATAGCGTTTTTGAATTCTCTGTTAGAGAACATACTTGCAAGTCTTTCATTAGTGATGAGCGGGGCCAGCGAATGGATAAGTGTATCTTGACATCACAAGATGAATAAAATCACGATTAAGCCGGGTGTTTCTCATATGCCTCTAGTCTTAAGTTAATATCGTATGTGTGTGTGTATGAAGAAACAAAGTAAGATCATTTGTTCTGTGTCTGTCTAAAGAATTCGAGTAACAAATTTTTGTTCTGTGTCTGTCTGAAGAATTGGAGTAAGATATGTTTTCTGTGTCTGAAAAATTGAGGAAAGATCATTTGTTCTGAGTCTGTCTGAGAAATTGAGGTAAGATCATTTGTTCTGTGTCTGTCTGAGAAATTGAGGTAAGACCATTAGTTTTGAGTCTGTCTGAGAAATTGAGGTAAGATCATGTCTTCTGTGTCTGACGTCTGACTGAAGAATCAAAGTGAGGTTACTTGTTCTGTGCGGGTCTAAAGAATCACAGTAGGATCATTTGTTCTGTGTCTGTCTAAAGATTCAAAGAAAAATAATTTATTCATGAGTATAACTGTAAAAAGTAAAAACCTGTAAAAAGTAAGATTATTTGTTCTTCGTCTTTGAGAAGTGGGAGCATATGGACCACCACAGTCTGGCGAGAGTGATGGAGCGGGGAGTGATGGAGCGGAGAGTGATGGAGCGGGGCGTGATGAGGGGATTTGGTCGATACTCAACGCTCAGAGGAAAGGCCAGACGAACGTATGATCAAAGTGCTGTTGACACAACTGGTATTGGAACTCTGCTCTGGCTGCTGAAGATGGGGGCGGAGCGCTCATGGGAATGCCATGAGTGCTTTGTTTTGTTGTCGGTTCTTTAATCAACTCATTACACTGAAGAAAAAAAAAGGAAAGTCTTGCATTGTTTTCGACAGTGATACCGAGAGATGACCATTCAGTGAGCAATGCCAAACTACTTACTGAACGGAAAATCTGTATAGGAAAACCACCACAAGAACAATAACAACAACAAAAATGCCGCTGGTGTTGGTTCTGCAAAGCCCTGTAAGGGATTTGCAGCTAACTAAATGTGTGAAAAAAAAAAATAATATCATTTTTTTTTCTGTGTCTTTAAAAAAAAAAAAAAAAAGTCTTGTCTTGTCTTGTCTTGTCCACAATTGCCTCACAGCGTAGTGGGGAGTCGCAGTTTTCTATCCTGGGCCAGGTGTGTTGCACGTGTTGTTGTTAGTCCGTGTTGCTTCAGGATCTCTGATATATTGTCTATCCATCGTACTCTCGGTCTGCCTCTTGCTCTAGGGCAGTAGTGCTGTTCGTTTTATGCTCGTAGAGGCAGTTGGTCGGTTTGCATTCGCATCAAGTGGCCAAACCACTCTATTTGTTGCTTCTTTATGTATTGCAGGCATGGTGTGGTTCCTACAATTGCTCTAATGTTCTCGTTTCGAACTGTCTCTCCTTGTGACATTGGCAGCCTTACGTAAGTATCTCATTTCGCACGTCGTGATCTTTTTCTCCTGTGCTCTTGTTAGGGTCCAGGTTTGGCATTGGTAGCAGAGGGTTGGTATAAACATGCAATTTATCAGTTGTAAAAAAAAAAAAAAAAAAAGTAAGAACACTTATTCTATGTCTGATGAATTAAGTAAGTACAATTGTTTGTGTCTTTGTGAGCAGCCAATAGCCAGACAACAGAGAGTCAGGTGACGCAATACCTGGGCAAGTGGAAAGGAACTCAGCTAGCTTATGACTCTGAAACTAGCCCACGTGACTCAAACCCACTTCCGGTTCCAGAGGGATGCTGTCCCACTTTGATGTTCGAGTCCAGATTTGAGTGTGGAAACCTTCGACAAGCAAGACGAGTGTGAGTGTGGCAATATCTTCGCGTGTGTGGATGGATGTTTCTACATACTGTTCTCACTAAATAATAGATTTGTCTCACTCTCATAAATATCTATCTATCTATCTATCTATCTATCTATCTATCTATCTATCTATCTATCTATCTATCTATCTATCTATCTATCTATCTATCTATCTATCTATCTATCTATCTATCTATCTATCTATCTATCTATCTATCTATCTATCTATCTATCTATCTATCTATCTATCTATCTATCTATCTATCTATCTATCTATCTATCTATCTATCTATCTATCTATCTATCTATCTATCTATCTATCTATCTATCTATCTATCTATCTATCTATCTATCTATCTATCTATCTATCTATCTATCTATCTATCTATCTATCTATCTATCTATCTATCTATCTATCTATCTATCTATCTATCTATCTATCTATCTATCTATCTATCTATCTATCTATCTATCTATCTATCTATCTATCTATCTATCTGTCTGTCTGTCTCTGTCTATCGGTCGGTCGGTCGGTCGGTCGGTCGGTCGGTCGGTCGGTCGGTCGGTCGGTCGGTCGGTCGGTCGGTCGGTCGGTCGGTCGGTCGGTCGGTCGGTCGGTCGGTCGGTCGGTCGGTCGGTCGGTCGGTCGGTCGGTCGGTCGGTCGGTCGGTCGGTCGGTCGGTCGGTCGGTCGGTCGGTCGGTCGGTCGGTCGGTCGGTCGGTCGGTCGGTCGGTCGGTCGGTCGGTCGGTCGGTCGGTCGGTCGGTCGGTCGGTCGGTCGGTCGGTCGGTCGGTCGGTCGGTCGGTCGGTCGGTCGGTCGGTCGGTCGGTCGGTCGGTCGGTCGGTCGGTCGGTCGGTCGGTCGGTCGGTCGGTCGGTCGGTCGGTCGGTCGGTCGGTCGGTCGGTCGGTCGGTCGGTCGGTCGGTCGGTCGGTCGGTCGGTCGGTCGGTCGGTCGGTCGGTCGGTCGGTCGGTCGGTCGGTCGGTCGGTCGGTCGGTCGGTCGGTCGGTCGGTCGGTCGGTCGGTCGGTCGGTCGGTCGGTCGGTCGGTCGGTCGGTCGGTCGGTCGGTCGGTCGGTCGGTCGGTCGGTCGGTCGGTCGGTCGGTCGGTCGGTCGGTCGGTCGGTCGGTCGGTCGGTCGGTCGGTCGGTCGGTCGGTCGGTCGGTCGGTCGGTCGGTCGGTCGGTCGGTCGGTCGGTCGGTCGGTCGGTCGGTCGGTCGGTCCGTCCGTCCGTCCGTCCGTCCGTCTGTCTGTCTGTCTGTCTGTCTGACATTAGGCAGTATTTTTTTAGGAGCGACGTTCTACAAAAAAGACCTGCTACATGATACCAGCCTACTAAAGGTTTATGTTTTAATTTAAATAACTGCGTCAGTTATTCTGGACAGGCCCTTTAGGATACAGTCTCTCTCAGCAGAAGGATTGTTGCAAACGTGTTAATCAATCGGAAATGGCACCATCTGCGCTCATTGCAACAAGTGCAATTCCCCTTCCAAACAACAGTCTGGAACATTCCCCAAGAGATGTGTCGCCATGCACCAAGTGCCTACAGTAAATCTACTCTGCCCTCCTGTAATCTGCTAGTGATATGTTTTTTAATTTAACATCTTCCTGTGTGGTTCCAAGTCCCATTTTTGAGGGGGTAGGGTAGACCCAATTACAAGCCTGTAGTAAGAGAATCTAATTAGGATTTTGTCGAAATTGGATGTTGGTCTGAAAGTGACACATATCGCAGCCCGGCTGTAAACCACAACATGCCAACTGCCCATTTAAGGACGTAGTGGACAAATTAGCACACGCACGTCCAATTTTTTCTAAAAGACCCATTTCATCGACTCTGCTTAGTGCGACAGTTAATACTATTCAGACTAAGGGCAGGCACAACAGAGCTTGCCAACACATGCTCAACTTGTCAGGAGTAGGAATAACGGAGATTTGTTTATGTAGGTTAGCATCAGTAAATGTTGAGCAACAGTGTAACGTGTATGCTGTAATAGAGAAGTAATCAAATCTTTTCCAACCTCAATCAAGACATACTTGTTTGGTACACGGGGAAAGGGAAATCTGGACTGCACTGTAGCTTCATCAAGAATGCTAGCCTCTTAACATACGTTTTTCTGAAAGAAGCATCGACGGATAGAAGGAGCCCTGGATGTTGAATGTTGTTGAATGTTGAATTAAGAATCGACATCACAGAACTCGGGCCACTCCCATAAGTGCTCAGTCCCCATCTTCAGCAGCAAATAGTTCAAATTCCGATGGTACCAGTAACTGTCTGATTGTATAACCGTTTCATCCTTCCGTTTAGTTTTTGAGCGTCTGCCAGATCCCCTGGTAACTCCTTGCAGCGCCATTCTCCTTAGACCGCAATTATCTATCTGGGCCTCCGCTCTTTTCACTCGCTCCCCAAGGGCAAGAAGAAACCCTGGATGAGTAAAGAGAGTATATCTGCTAAATGACCCTTATTTTACACCACGTAGGGCTTAAATGGTGATAGACCAGTAATTTATTGACCACTCGGCACTTGGTGGATGATGCAGTCAACCCAGGCTTGCATGGGCAGTTCTTTTGTTTCTCTTCTTCATTTCCTCTCTTTACCCCTTCAGGTGTTGACGGAGATGTACACTTTTGCTTCTTGCTCTTCTGGTAGGTTTCTTTGATGTTATCTTTTTATCGCGTTTTTGGTCTGCTTTTGTGATGTTCTTCTACTCTTTTTAATATATTATATGGTACGATGTCACAGGGTTTTCTCTCCAAGTGGGCAAACCATTTGATTTGCTGTCTTTGTATGTTTAAGTTCTAATTGCTTCTGTGACAATTTTCTCTCTTATGACATCATTCCTGATTTTATCTCTTTTTGTCACTCCTGAAACCCATTTTAGACATCGCATTTCCATGGTTAAAAATCTCCTGTTCTTGTTTGTTGTGAGTTGATCATGTCTGTTACTGGTTGCATAGTGTGGGAATGAATATGCTTTTTATAAAATGTTTTTTTTTTTTTTGCTGGTCGGGATTGTCTTTTGCTGTAAGAGGAGAGCAAGCTTTCCCAATACTTTGTTTGCTTTACTGCACAGTTAATGTCTTCATCAATTTCCCATCTTGTGTGAATATTGTTCCCTGATTTTCAAACTCAGATGACCGCTCGGTGCTTTTTCCCTGGATAACCTAAATTTTAGACTTGATTACGGCTCTCTGAATTGAAAAGGCAAACAATGTCCCTTACTTTGCCCTTTCTTTGTCTTCTATTCCTCCTGCTGCCTGTATGTGATAGGAAATGTTAAGAGGTTCTTATGTATACTCTTTATAATCTTGCATAAGATGATCTTCAGTTCTTTAGGACTTTTTCCTAACGATGTTATTTCAGCTTTTACCTGATCTTTCCCTTGCTCTTTGTAAATTATATTTCTTCAGCGTGGATCTCTGTGGCAGTTTGTATCAGAACTTTCTTTTCAAATGGCCAGACTGGATCTCTATGGTAGTTGGTATCAGAACATTCTCTTCAAATGGCCAGACTGGATCTCTGTGGCAGTTTGTATCAGAACATTCTCTTGAAATGGCCAGACTGGATCTCTGTGGCAGTTTGTATCAGAACATTCTTTTCAAATGGCCAGACAGGATCTCTGTGTTAGTTGGTATCATAACATTCTCTTCAAATGGCCAGACAGGATCTCTGTGGCAGTTTGTATCAGAACATTCTCATCAAATGGCCAGACAGGATCTCTGTGGCAGTTTGCATCAGAACATTCTCATCAAATGGCTAGACAGAATCTCTGTGGCAGTTTGTATCAGAACATTCTCATCAAATGGCCAGACAGGATCTCTGTGGCAGTTTGTATCAGAACATTCTCTTCATATGGCCAGACTAGATCTTTGTGGCAGCTGGTATCAGAGCATTCTCTTCAAATTGGCATCCTATCTCACCCGTCGCTCTTTAGTCAACTCTACCACTAGCTTCAGGCCTAATTTTCTTCTAATTTCTTCATTCATAATTTTAACTCTTTGTGTTACTCCAACAGGCTTCAAATACATCTAATCTCTATTATGATGCTTTCTAATTAGTTGTAATGAAAGTCCTAATTTGATACTACTAGTATAGAATTTTCAGCACAAAAAATATAATTTCTTTTTAAAAAAAAAATAGATTTGCCTATTAGACTATGGTATATTTACAATTTTACATACTTACGTAGACTAGGTCGTTTCAACTCATGTTGCCTCAGTATAATCTCAATATAAAGAATGTTTCCCCACACTCCCTGGCAGAAATCAGTTCGAGTATGAGTTGGTGTTGAAGACAGACCTCTACACTGCCAGACACACACAATGGTACTACTTCCGCGTCACCAACGCCGTACCTGGTGTAACCTACAAGCTGAGGATCATCAACCTCCTTAAAAAGGACAGTCTCTACAATCATGGTATGTAACATTTCATCATCTTCTTCATGAAATGTTTTGATGACAGGCGGGAGCGATCAAACGTCTGCAACATTTTTCGATCTCACACACAAAAAAAGAAACTTTCGTATATAAAAACAAACTTACAGACACACATGCAGCATATTCATTATCAACATCGTCATCATTATCAAGATGTGCAGTGTCAGCAGGCAAAGATTATCATCATCAGCTAACTCAGACGATCACCGCACACATGGCTCATGTCATTGTTCTTGTCTTGCCCCACCTATATGGCAAAACCTTCCAGGTGTTGTTCACTTCGCTTTCCTCTTGCTTTTTTTCATCAAACTTATCAGTTCTTGGCATTGTTCTAAAAAAATAAAAAAATAAAAAACATTCTCTGCTTACTGTCCTTATCTCACATTCATTCATAAAACAACATAGGTTCCATGTTTAACAACTTTTTCTCATTGCAAAAGGGATTTGGTGTGTATCCATCAATCATCACCACCAAATGCCATTTACTCTTTGCAGGATGACGACCAGGAATCTTTACCAGCTTTTCTGGCAAGCCTGTCATGTTGCTCCTGCTAGCCTCAACCTTGACCCTATCATGACATCTGTACGACTGTGTCCTTCTCTAGACCGCTTGCCCTCAGCTCCCCATTTTTAATGTCTGTAGCCATTGCTCTGACACTGGATGTTGTAACAGAAAATGGTGTTATTCTCTTTGGATAGGAATGAGACCACTAATGTACTCGGAGCAGGATGCCAAGGAGAGGCAGAGGGGATGGGTTCGAACAGGACATCACATCAGGTGAGACTGCAAAGTTCAGGATTATTGCTGTCCCTTCCCTCTTGTGTGCCAATTTAATCTATCATGACACTAGAGACAGGCAGATAGATGTTACTAATATATATATATATATATATATATATATATATATATATATATATATATATATATATATATATATATATATTAGGGCTGTACCGAATATTCGCTTCGTATTCGCCACAGGCCGAATAGTGGACCATATAACTGTTTGGTATTCGGCCGAATACTTGCGGTCGGGCGGAATACAAATAGTGGTTACCTTACACCCGTTTCTGCATACACTGTGATGGACTAGACTAATTCTCTCATTAACACAATAATTGCTGTTGCCTAAGGCTGTCGTAGCGGGGGAAACTGCGACCCGGTACAGCAGGTGGCAAGGTCTTTGCCTGCTGACTCGACTGTGGCATTACAGTAGAGGTTCTCAAACTGTGTGCGTATGCCAGGGGTGCCGCGGCGAAAATCAAGAAAAGTGGGCTATAAATTGTGACATTATTAAAGAAGCCATAAAGATACTTAAAAGTTAAAATTTAAATCGTCTTTCCTCGCCGCTTTCGAAAAGAGTTTTTTTTTTCCTTGTTTCACACTCAAGGTGAATCATACTGCATAAAATGCCTACAGCAGCATGCTAAAAATTGTCTTTGTATTTATCTCGAGGTGCGACGGATCCTCCATCTGTATTCGTGAAGGTGCAGCGAATAAGTAAGGTTGTGATTACATTTTGGCTGAAATTTTAAAGTAGAAAATATGGTCTGTACAATAGTAACTGTTAGCCTCGTCAAGTAAGCACCTATATTTAAAGACAATGCGTTTTGAGTCCTGGACAATCGGTAGGCAAGCCAAACAATTTCTTGAATCCTCAGAGATGTGGTTTTACAGAACAATGCTTAAAATATCTTGGACAGCCACACACATACAAAAAAAGCATCCATTAGTTTTTGAAAGAGGCGGGAGCCCAAAGATAACTAATCACAGTCATCATTTTCGGCCATGTTATGAGAAGAGGGAAAATGGAACATGTGGTGACCACTGGAAAGATCTGTGGAAGGAGGAATAGAGGAAGACAACGAGAGAAGATTCTGTACAGTCTTGTTGCATGGCATGGAGGTGTGTCAGCACACAAACTAATATATGCTGCAGAAGATCGCAGATTTTGGCGAGGCATTATTGCCCACGCCAGTTGGCAAGGCACCTGATGATGGTGATACACTATTCGTATTCGGCAGAAGAGTTGGTCCCGCTATTCGTATTCGGCCGAATAGTGAAAATCACTATTCGGTACAGCCCTAATATAAATGGAGAATGACTGAGTGAAATGGTGGAAAATAAATAAATTTGCATTAATACTCTGCACTTATATATTTATATTCATATATATTATAGACTGATGTATGAGAAGTTAGGCAATGAACTAGAGAATGAGAGATGAAGTAAACTAATGAATTAAAACACTAAAGTCTCCTTAAGGTGAAATCTGTGGTAGCCCATAAGCCCCAATAATGTGAATTTCATAGAGAACGTAGGCTGCAATAGTAAGAACTCTGTAGGGAATATAAACTGTGTTATTACGAACTCTCCTATGAACTTTGACTGGAATGATAATGATTTTTGTCATCACTGTGAAAATGGCGCCTAATTGATTGACTGGTTGAATGAGGATGAGTACTATATCTGTTGCAGATATCCTTCACTGTAAAGGGAACTTGATGGATTGATTGACTGAATGGTGATGATTATTTTTACGATTGATTAAATGATGATGGTGATTGTTTACCTGATGTCTATTGCAGCTACACAAGGAGTTCCGGCACCAACTGTCCTCTGCTGGAGAAAGGCATCACCTACTTCACCCTAGAGTGGCAGATGGTGAGTTAGTTGACACTGCTTCTGAACTCAGGTTACAGGTAGACAGATCAGAGTGGCTAAGGTGACGAAATATAGAAGAAGAGGAGGTTAAGGAGAAGGGGAGGATGAAAACAAGGAAGAAGGAATATGAAGGGTTGAAAATTTAGAACAAGACAAAGTGTAAGCATAGGGTTAGATGGAAATAGGAATGGGAAAGCAATGATTATATGATAATAAACATAAGAATAAGAATAAGAAGAAAAGAAAGAAGAGGAGATGAAAAAAAAAGAAGACCAGGAGGAGGAAGAGATAAATGATGCAGAGGAGGAGAAAGAAACTGCAGAATAAGAGAGGTATAAGGATTTTTGTAATTATGTAGACACGCGAGGAAGATAAAGGAATAAAGAAGAAAGAAGAGGAGTAAAAGTAGTGGAAGAAAAAAAAGAGGGGGAAGAAGAAGACGATGAAGAAAAAGAAGAAGAAGAACAACAACAAGAACAATGACAACAACAACAACAACGACAACAACAACAAAAGCCACAACAACAAGATAATGGGGAGGAGGAGATAAATAAAAAGAAGAAGAAGATCGGGAGGAGGAATAGATAGATAAGGCAGAGGGGGAAAAAGAAACTGCCTAAGAAGAAAGGTATAAGGATGTGTTTTTTCATTAAATATTGGTAGATTGGTGAGGAAGATAAAGAAGTACAGAAGAAAGATGATAGGAAAGAGGAGGAGGAAGAAGAAAAAGAAAAAAAAAAAAGAAGAAGAAGAAGAAGAAGAAGAAGAAGAAGAAGAAGAAGAAGAAGAAGAAGAAGAAGAAGAAGAAGAAGAAGAAGAAGAAGAAGAAGAAGAAGAAGAAGAAGAAGTAGAAGAAGAAGAAGTGCAAGAAAAAGAAGAAATAATAACAGCAGTTAACATGAATAAGGTATTCCCAGGTAGAGGTCTAGTAAATAATCGATTTTTGATGGTAATTTTTAATGATATTGTAAAGGAGGTTGAAGATGATGATGATGATGATGAGTGTTGATTATGGTGATGATAGCTGATAATAGTAATAATTTATTCTATGTTCTGGACGCAGGAGTTTCCCAACCACCAGGACACTCACTATCTGGCCCACTGCTACCCCTACTCCTTCACTGACCTCAAGGAAGACCTGGAGTTACTAATGAACAGTGATGAGAGGTCAAAGGTTACCAGGCGAGAGGTCATGTGTGAAACAAGAGCTGGCAATAGTTGTTTCTTAGTCACAGTGACCAACTTTGGTAAGTGTGTGTGAGATGGTGTGTGTATGTGTGGTGTTTGTATGTGTGAACAGGGTGTGTGTGTGTGTGTCGAGGAGTTATGTTTATATGTGGTGTCTGTATGTGTGCACAGGTTGTGTGTGCTGAGAAGCTGTGTGTATGTGTTGTGTTGGTATGAGTGAAAAGGCTGTGTGTTGAGATTCTGTGTATATATGTGGTGTCTGTATGTGTGAACAGGTTGTGTGTGTTAAGATGCTATATATACGTGCGATGTTTGTATGTGTGAACAGGTTGTGTGTGTCGAGATGCTGTGTGTATGTGTAGTGTTTGTGTGTGTGTGTACAAGTTGTGTGTGTGTGTGTGTGGCTGTGTTAAGTGTGTGTGGTTGTGTTGTGTATGATATGTTGCGATACAACTTATAGTTGGCTTGTTCATGAATCCTTTTAAGAAATGTATATTTTCTCATGTTGTTAAAAAAATGAGCATTTGGCCATTTAAATAATGTTTTCGTCTGTTTACCACCAAATGTTGTGTAGACTCAACAGTTGAGAAAAGGGCAGTCATCATCACAGCCCGAGTCCATCCTGGGGAGAGCCAGTCCAGCTGGATGATGAAAGGATTCCTGGAGTTTATCACTGGCCCAGATCCTGCAGCAAAAGTTTGTATTCTTCTTGTGTACGTGTTTGTTTATTTTCTAGTTCTAAGTGAAGTGATGTGTGTCCTCAGGAAGCGTAGGACAACAACTGCTGTGAGAAGTGTAAGACAGGAACTAGTAGAAAATGGGTTTAGGAATAATCCATCACAAGCATCCTTCTGTGCAGGATCTCCATGCATCCTGCTGTGTAAGTGGTACAGTACTGACTGTCCTCAACAACAGTCTAAGCATCGGCTGCTGCAACCTTTCTTGTAAACCTCATGCATATTCACTGATGATGGGAAATCATGTCCAGCTGTGTGTCCACATAATGTCTTGCTGGTGTGTAGTTTAGTGTTCTTTTCTTCCCCTAATAGTAAAGTTTATGCCAAAATGTGCTAATGTCCCATACAATCACCAGTTTGTACGTAAACATGCAGTAAAATGTTAGTTGCCTATCCTTTACAGGACTTTGCAGAACCAACCCCATAATTTTTTGGCTGTTATGGTTTTTCTAGGCAAGTTTACATCCAGTAGTTTGCTATTCCTTTCTGGGTAGTCAGCTTCCCGATACCACTGTCGAAACCAATGCAAGGCGTGAGGCCCGCAGCTGGGATTGAACCCGGCACCCCTGCATTACAAAGGGCAATCGCAACGCCTAAGCCACAGACAGAAACAGTAACATGCAGTAACACATTTTAAATACTACCTGCATTTTAATGATTTATTTTAAAAGTGATAAAAAGACTTTTGCAGTGTTTATCTCAAGCCACATAATGATAACTGGTAAGCGATCTCTTGAGGTTGTCTGTGAGTTGAGTTCAGTCAAGAATTGACATCACAGCACTCAGGGCATTAAGACTGTCTATAATGTGTAAACTGTACATTATCTTTAGACCTCTTATAACTGCAGTTAAATTATAGTCCTTCTGTGAATTCAGGAGCTACGCAACCAGTTTGTTTTTAAAGTGGTACCCATGATAAACCCAGACGGAGTCATCGTTGGAAACTATAGGTGTTCTTTAGTGGGACGTGACCTTAACCGTAACTACAGACACCCTCGCCAGGAGAGCTTTCCTACGATCTGGTACATCAAAAATATGGTCTGCGACTTGGCCAAGAAGTATGAAGTGAGTCGATGTTTCAGTGATTTAAATCTGCTTTTCTTACTGAATCTTTTGTGCACTTGCTTTTGCTGGCTGTGAGCGTGTGGGTGGGTGTGTGTGTGTGTGTGTGTGGGTGTGTGCATGTTTTTGTTTTATGCATTTCTTTTTGTGACATAGGTTTATGGAAGCTTCCTTTTTCCTCTTTGTTTTCCTTCTTCCTTGACAATGAAACAACATTGTGCTGGCTGAAAGAGTATAGAAGAGACATTTTAACCATCATTAAATGTCAGCTTGGTGAAAATAAACCTAGAATGAAATGAGGAGATGTTGGCATTGATACATTCTGATTTCTGCTAGGGGGTGGGGGGGGGGGGGGAGATGTAGTTTTCATCTGTGTGGTTCAAGCGCAGTTGTGTCAGTTCTATTAACCAGTAACAAAACAAATAATTAATCCTTTTGATCCCATGCCATTATTGTTGCTTCTCAAAGTTTAGATCCTTAATGCCTTTAGAGCAACTGTTTTTTTTATTTTATCAAGTTAGAATAAGACACTCATGGGGAAGAGGGTGGGGGTTGTGGAGAGAGAGAGGGGGGAGGGGGTGGTTCAGGAACAACTTGGATTGTGCGGTTTAAAATAAACATTATTAGATTAGCAGTACTTCAGAAATATTTACTGTGTAGAGTTACCAACAAACACATAATGAGTTGCTCAGTACTGAAAGAGGGAAAAGGGAAATAAATACTTATTCCAAGGATCTTATTGAAGGATACTTTATCACATACTTCCTTGACATTTAGGTAGAATAACAGCATTTTAATGGAAGACGTAGAAGATGTTGAATAGCTCAAGCAAAGGCAGAATATTACAAGATATTTTATGCAATCTTTCTCTGTCAACTGAGACGAGAAAGAGATTTCTTTAGAGCTATATACAAATCAAAGAGAAGGTAACTGAAAGATGGACAGAGTTTATAAAATAGCTATACGATGATAACAGCAGACCAGACATAGAGAGTCAGGAGTATTCGAAAAGACCGCCAATCCTGAAAGCAAAAGTCGAAGATGCTATAAACCACATAAAGAAATGTAAATCTCCAGGCCCAGATTAACATCATGATTGAAGAATTAAAAGCTAATGGTGAACTGGATTTAGAAGTTTTGACAAAATTGTTCAGTGATATTTATAACAGTGAACACATATCTGATGTCCTTTTGAAATCTCTTTTTTACCTTAACCAAAAACACTTGGTGCAGTGGAATGTGGAGAGCATCGAAAACAATTAGTTTAACTCTTTGAGTCCCAGAGGGTTTAGCATCACAGGCCCAGGCGGGTAGTAAAGAAAGTAATAAAATCGGAGCAACATGCATTCATTGAGCTCCTAGGTAAGAACCTATGAATGAATGATGCGTTCCTTGGGACTCAAAGAGTTAATGAGTCGTGTAACTAAAATATTAATGAGAACTGTCATGAGAAGAGTAAAATGCAAAATCAAACCAGAAATTGGTGAATAGCATTGTAGTTTTGTGGAAGGTAAATGCACAAACAACGCCATATTTATCTTGAGAATGCTTTCAGAAAGAATGATTAACATGAATAGAGATTTGTATTTGTACTTTATTAATCCACTAAAGCATTTGATAAAGTGAAACATTAAGAAATTATTAGAATTTTGGTAACCTTAAACATTGATGATAAAGATCTGATAATAATTTTAAAAAAAATACTGGCAACAAGATGCAGCCATAAGGATTGACAACAAAGTTGGAACTTTTCAAAACACTAAATAAGGCGTTAGACAAGGCTGTGTACTATAACCCGATTTATTCAATTTGTACAGTGAAAAAATAAATAGATCCATGCATGGTATGCCATGAATAGTGGTTGGTGGGCATATTGTTAACAACCTGCAATATACTGACGAAATAGTGTTGATTGCTGCAAGACATGATGGATATAACTGTAACAGAAAGTGAAAGCAAGGGTCTTAGTTTGAACAGCAAAAAAAAAAAAAAAAAGTTATGGTAATTACAAAGAAAACTGACCCTCCGAAATACAACATCAAAGTAAATGGAACAAACCTCAAGCAAGTTGATATGTTTAACTACTTGGGTACCCTGATAACATCAGACAGAAGATGTATTAGGAAAATTAAGTGTCTAATAGCTCAAGCAAAGGCAGCATTTTACAAAATAAACAAAACTTTACTCAATCTTTCTTTGTCAATTGAGACGAGATAGAGAATTTTTGAAAGCTATATAAATCCTATCTTGATATGCGAATGTGAATCATGGACAGCTAGTAAATTAGGAAACCTTATGTGGAAGCTGCGGAGATGTGGTTTTATAGATGAATGATGAGAATACCCTGAACAGATAAAAAGAGTAATTAAGAAATCTTGAAAGAAACTGACTCACAAAGAGAACTGATTGCCCACATCAGAAAGAGACAATCTACATTCTTTGGTCATGTGATGAGAAGGAGAAAACTGGAGTACATCGTGACATAGGAAAGTTGGAGGCAAGGAGAGGCAGAAGGAGACCGATGATGCTTGACAGTTTGATATAATGGAATGGAAGATCATCTATGCCAGAGTTGATTGAAAGTATATGAGACAGAAGGTTGTGGATAATCATAACTACCAGTGCCGCACAGTATGGACTTTAAGAAGAAGAAATTGCACTGAAGATAGTTGCGTATCCTTTATAGGATGTTGCAGAACCAATTCCAGCATTTTCTTTGTTATTGTGGTGTTTCTATATAAATGTTACATTCAGTAGGTACTGAAGATAAGCAGGGTATAATCATCTGTACAGAAATATTCTTGTCACTTCTCTGAGAAATATGTGTTATTATATATATGAACATTTTGGCTTCAGGTTGCTTTATACTGTGATTTGCATGGACACAGTCGAAAACATAACGTCTTCATGTATGGTAACAACACTTCTGCTGACCTAGGGGTCACGCCTCTAGACATGGCCAGGGCTTTCATTTCTGAGAGGCTGTTTCCCTGGATTATGTCTGTTAAGGTATGTAGCTTCAATATGTTGCACAAATGGCTGAGACCAGGTTTCAAATCCAAATTTCTGGTGGGAGGGCAAACATAAAATCCTTTCCTGCAAAGACAGTCCATGGCAACAGCACAAGCCATGCAGCCCTAAATCCTCAGGCTCAAAGACCAACTGCTTTCAATACAGAAGTGGTAAATACAGGAAATAATAGCAGTTTTTGTTCTTTGGTAGAAATGATTTCATCATGTATCAAGATAGGAGAAGGTTACATGCCTTGGCTGGGCCAAAGGGCAAAAGCTCATGCGCAGCTGGATCAATAACAACAACAACAACAAATGCCCTGACATGAATGCTAGATAATCATGCCTTGTAAAGGATTATTTTTCACCGCATTAGGTGTATTGAACATGAGTTGATTCAAGAACCAACATCACTGCACTCTGGGCATTTCCATAAGCGCTCTGTCCCTATCTTCAGCAGTCAATGCAGAGTTCCAGTACCAGTAGTGCCAGTAGGAGTCTGATTATATGTACATATTGTCTTTTCTCTGAACGATGAGTATCGGCCAGATTTCCTCATTCTTTCCTGCTGCATCACTCTCACGAGCCTGTGGTGGTCCATTTGCTCCTCCGAATTGTAAATGTTCTCCCATAAGGCCCTAACCACGTCAGCCATATCCAGCATCAATATTCTACCAAGTTGTGCAGAGCCAGCCAGTCTGTCCACCTTTTTATTTCCCAACACAGCGGCATGACTGGGAGAAAAGATTCAGACAATGCTCCTGACTGACTTCTGAAGTGAAGCATGCCACTCTGCCCTCTGTATTTTGCATACAGTGCTAGAGCTATATTTTATGAACCAATCGGCACTTGGTCAATGATGTGGTCAATATCACGCCAGCTAACTTTACTTTCCAGTACTTTACCAGGTTTCTGTTTGAGGCTGGGTCAACCTGGGAGCCAATATATCATTAAACATTTTTAAAATCAGACAAGGGGGATTTGAACATACAACCTTCTAGCCACTACACAACTGGAGCTCCCAGTCATGCCTAGAGGCTGAAGAAATGACTGAGACTAAAACTGTTTGGTCACCTTTTATGGCTTGCAAACCGAGATACAGTGTTTCTATTCTTTGCTTCTCTTGTGATCCCAGGTAATGGGGAAAACACTGCTATTAAGACTAGTGTTTTTCCATAGAAGCTGACAGCAAATCCTGTATTTTGCATTCATCTTCTAGAGTCCAGACAAGTTCCACTTCCAATCCTGCAAATTTCAGATCCGGCGATGTAAGGAGTCTACTGGCCGGGTGGTCATGTGGCATCAGCTGCGGGTCTCAAACAGTTTCACCATGGAGGCAACTTTCAGTGGCACAGTACTAGACAGGTTAGTTTTGTTGTCCGCTCTTCCTAATTTGATTGTAGGGTTTTAGTGTTTTTATAATGTCCACCATTGGTCAGGTTTTTGAGATATTAAAAATTCCATGGGTGGAAAAATAAGAAGTGAAATCACAACACAGAAGAAAACTGGATTGTAAACTAGTTTATTGTTTACTCTGCATAGGGCAGAGGTCATGGCTCTCAATTTCCAGTCGTTCGTTGCTACTTGTTTTAGGTTTTGGATGTTTATTAGGCCGATGGCTTCCTTGATGATGGTTCTATGCAGGGTCTCACTTGGTCTATTCCATTTTCTTTTCCCCTTTGGTGTCCATATGAGGGCTTATGAGGGGGAGTCTTGTCATCCATTCTGAGTACATGGCCGATGTAATTCCAGCTGTGATTTCTTATAAAATTTGATACATTATCCAATGTATGGTGTAAAACCAAACTATTAATAGGCCAAACTGGTGCTCAATGGTGAATGTGGCCAAAATCTATGCCTTTATTTTCCAACAACCCCATGTGGGTTCCAAGGCTCCAGTGTGGAGAACAAAGAATAGACCGACCCTCTCCCCCCCGTCCTCTCTCCTCCCCAACATGCATGTCGTAGAAGGCGACTAATTAGGGGTGTTTTCTTCAAAGTCAGAGTGCATCTGCCATAAAGGCGAGAACCAAATTAGCCCAATTTGCAAAACAGAGATGCTTGCATAACTTGAGTTTTGGACCAATACCAGGGAATTGACAAACAACAGCAACTTTTCTCCAGAGTTTACAGCCAGTCTCTAAGAAGAAAATATCCCAACACTTTTCTGAATAATATTTATAGGCTGGCGAGCCACCATGGTCTAGCGGCTAGATGAATGCCTGCGGATCGGAAGGTCGTGGGTTCAGGTCCTGACAAAGGTATGGCCTTTTTTCAAAAATGACCTTGGCTCCCAGGTTGACCTAGCCTTGAGTGGGTACCAGGTACAGTCCTGGGAAGTAAAGGTGGCGGGCATCATGCTGACCACATCAGACATCATGTGCTGTTTGCTCTATATAATATAGGTATAGCCCTATACACCCAATATGCCTGAAGGCGTGGAAAGGAGACCTTTTTCTAGACTGACTTCTTCTGGAAGTCTAAAACAATTTTTGTAAATCCCCACCTTGTAGGGATTTGAACATATGATTACCAAGTTGACAGGCAGACATGCAAGCCATATGCTAACATGGCTCCTCATAGAAGTGATATTAGAAATAACAATGATAGTAGCAATGATGATGACTTAAAACAGATAGAAACAGTAATATAACTGCCCTGAGGCTTGTGTCCATAGAGACAACCGTCGCCACTTCAACACACAAGACTTCATGGAAATGGGCACTGTTCTGGCTCAGGCTATCTTGGAGTATCAGACTGTCAAAGCTGATCCTGTGTAAGTTTCAGTAGTTGTAGATGTAATCATCTCTTTGTAGATTTAACCATATTTTTGTAGATATAACAACCTGTTTGTAGATATAACCAGCTGTTTGTAGATATTGACACCTGTTTGTAAATATAACCATCTATTTGTAGATATAACCACCTATTTGTAGATATAACCACCTGTTTGTAGATATAACCACCTGTTTGTAGATATAACCACCTATTTGTAGATATAACCATTTGTTTGTAGATATAACCACCTGTTTGTAGATATAACCTTCTGTTCATGAATATAGCCATCTTTTTTGAAGGTATAACCACTTGTTTGTAGATTAAACCATCTGTTTGTAGATATATCCATCTGGTTGTAGACATAACATCAGTTTGAAGATATTAGCACTTGATTGTGAATATAGCCATCTCTCTGTATATATAGCCACCTGTTTGTACATTTAACCACCTGTTTGTGGATACAATCACCTGTTTGCAGATGTAACTACCTGTTTGTAGATGTAATCACCTATTTGTAAATAGAACCATTTGTTTGTAAATATAACCACCTGTTTGTAGCTATATCCTTTTGTTGGTAGGTGTAACTACATGTGTATGTGTCCATCTGTGTGACAGTGTCGACTTAGATTTGCTTGCTTGTAAGTTTATGAAAGACATACCTGTTTAGAAAATTTATTCAGCTAGAGAATGATCACCGTGAATAATCAACTGAAATACAATACTGTTTATTGCATTCTTGTTCTAAAAAAATTTTTTTTTTTTCAATTATATTCTCAGACAGCACACTCAGACAGTGCTAGGACTAACTCGATGTATAACGAAGCAGGTTCTCGCCTATAAAGGTGCGTTGGGATCAAATACATCCTTACCTGACATGATTTTTAAAGGTAACACTTTTTTCTTTCTTAACAAAAATACAATTGCTCATGATTTTTAGGGTGATAGACATCAGTTTCTATTTACAAATACATGTGATAAGTTTCTTGATGGCCGCCTTTGCTTCTAGAGACATGTTATGGTTTCTGTTTTAGGCTTGGCTGACTTGATAAGCAAAGTAGATTCTTCTTCTTCTTGTGTCTTTTTGCTTATGCCATAAAGCGTTACAGAAAGGAGTCAAAGGAAGCCAAAGTATATTGAACTACTAAATTTAACTTTTTAAAAACACTCATCCTTTCAAGAATATTTATGACTGATTGACTGGAACTTTTCCATCTTTCCAGACGATAGTGTTATAGTGCGCTATCAGATGGCTTGGATCTTACAGCCCCTGGCGATGGCCAGTGTGACTAGCAAAACCCGCCCGTGTCAAGAAAATGCTTCCACAATTAAAGCATGGGATTTCAGGACCATTGTTGTCAACATTTGTGTTTAGTCTGTTGCTTCACAGACGCTCAACTGTCACCCTTTTTGCAATCATTTCTTCCTTTATTATCATTCCGTTCCTAATGTACCCTCTCCACAACACGGTCTATGGCATTTTGTTCCCATGAGTCCACCTTAATATCTGAAACTGTCATGTCCCACTTGCACAAATCTTTATATCAAAGTAGAGGTTGGCCTCGACATTTCTTTCCGTCTTTTTTCACCATAGAGGATGTTCTTAGAGACTCAGCCATCCTCCATTTTTCAGGTGTGTCCTAGCCACTTGATCTGAGAATATTTATAGCCATTATAATGGCAGTGCTCAATTGTGTACACTAACAGCACTTAACTCTTTGAGTCCCAGAGGGTTTAGCATCACAGGCCCAAGGGTTAGTCATGAGAGAGGTAAAATCGGCGCATCTTGTGTTCACTGGGCTTCTAGGTAGGAATCTATGAACGTATGATGCGTTCCTTGGGACTCAAAGAGTTAAGCATAAATTTTTTTTTAGTGCTACAGTAATAGACACTTTGTGGTGAGTACCGGCAGCTAGTTTAGGCACCTTATAGTGAGTACAGTAAATTTTATTTTTCTGAAAAAAAAAATTTATAGCTTTTGTGATTCTGCTTGACATACTGGGATCATCACTGGTACCGCAGAGTCCATGCACTGTGTTGCGATTCTTCATAATACAAGAACCAGATATTATGGAAATTATTCACCTGCTTTCACATACTAAAGGTCCCAGAAAGGCAACAAATGCCTGCAGAAGCTGAATGTGTCAGCCAAAAGGTGAAAATATCCCAGTCATGTTGTACATAGGCACAAAGAAATTATATCTTTGGATGAACATAGAAAAAGAAATACTAAGGGTCTATTTGTATGCTGAGTTGAGTTAAAGTAACAACCATTATAACACATGGGATATTTCCATAAGTGCTCTGTCCGCATCCTCAGCAGCCAGTGCAGTTTCAATTCCTATGTTACCAGTAGCAGTCTGATTGTATGTGTATCTTGCCTTTCCTCTCAGTGTTGTCAGACTGATTTCCTGGTCCCTCCCCACTGTACCATTCTCTTCAGACCATGATGATCAATGTAGGCCTTCATAGTGTTCACTGACTCCCAAAGGTCCTTGATAACATCAAGCTTGAAATGCATCAGTTTACCGTTAAGTGGTGCAGAACCAGTCAAATCTATCTACCTTAAATGAAAGAGCTGTACTTGAGACAAAGGGCATGGATACAGTGGTTATTTTGAAAGTTATGCTTCCATCTTAGCATTCCATGATCTGTAGAGTTTCAGACTGATCTCATCTGTTGTAATGTTTCTGAAACTTTTTTTAGTTTTTAAAAAAAAATTCATATCATGAACGTCATGTCTGACTTGGTTTGTCACCACCATTCCGCAGTCTTTCTCAGCTCACTGTTACAAATTTTGTGAATGAGTTTATGTCACACACCCCTCCCCCTCCCCCCCCCCCTTTCCCTTTCCCCCAGAAAGTTGCAGAAATGGAGAGAACACCAAACAGACATCCTCAATAAATGCTCTTCTCCCCAACGATGGTCAGTCTTTAACAGCTGGGAAACCACCTCTGGATAAGCAAAGCAAGAAGGATAAGTTGGACAGACTAGGCAGTTGCCCCGCTACAGCCTTATCCAGAGAGGAGCTGATTAGTATTGTTCAGAAACTTGCAGCTGGCAAGACCATGGATGACTGTGTGGAGTTGCTGGCTAATCTAGATATACAGAATAATTTACAGGAGTCAGAGTGAGTAGCACTTCACTATGTTGTGTGGAATCAGTGGCATTTATCTGTGTTGTCTGGGGTTAGTGGTGTTTACATGTGTTGTCTGGGGGGTTAGGGGTGTTTATATGTGTCATTTAGAGTCAGTGGCTTTTACATGTGTTGTCTGGAGTCAGTGGCATTTACATGTGTTGTCTAGAATCAGTGGCATTTAAATATGTTGTCTCGAGTTAGTGGCATTTATATGTGTTGTCTGGAGTCAGTGGCATTTAAACATGTTGTCTTTTGTCTGGGGTCAGTGGCACTTAAATATGTTGTCTGGGGTCAGTGGCCTTTACATGTATTTAAAACAATGTTTCCTCATAATGAATTTAAATAATGCGGACATAATGCAGTTGTGAGTTTTTTTTTTTTTTTTTTTATGTTAAGAATGTTTTGGGCAGAGTAGAAAATATTGATATACAAGGATCTGCAATAGTTACAAGATCACTCATTTAAAATAAATATTGAAATATATAGGAGACATCAGAGGTAATATACTGAAGAACAAATTTATATAAGGAAGTATTAGAGAGGGTAGAGAAAGACAATACAAAAATGCTCACATATAGCTTAAACAAAATCTTTATCATATAATAATATAAGTAACATCAGCTACATTAAAGTCACATAACAAAAGATTTGTGAGTCCTGATCTCTGATTTCTGCCAAAACTTGGTAACTGAAAATAAAGAACAGATCAGACTTTTCAATTCTGTGCTGTCTTGCCGTTATTTGACCGGCTGTGTTAGTTCCTAGAAAGAACCTAATGAATTATATGTTCCTCTTCTTCAGCATTCTGAGCTCTTGAAGTTAATAACTGCAGATATCACCCACCTTCATACATCTCTCTGACTGGCCTTCTCTTTCCAGTTGAGAATACAAAGTGTTTGTAAAAAAAAGCATGAATATTGTTTCTCCACTGTCTTCTTAGTCTGTTTTATGCCCCTATTTAACTCTTTTATGTATGCAGCTTTTGTCAATAAGTTATCTGGAATTCTCTTTTTCTGTTCTCCAACCACTGCAATCATGATACCAGCAGTTAGTGTTGATTTAAACAGGTTATTAGTTTTGTTGTTGCATCTTTCTCTCACTTCTCTATTGTCTGCATCTTTGATGGGTTAGTAAATTATATCACAAATAATAATCATATATTTGCTATGAATTATCTGCTTTCAATGATTTAGTTCCAGTGATAGTGACAGTGAATCAGAGCCTGAACTGAGGCCACCAGAACCAAAAACTAGAAAGAAACGAAAGAAATCTAAGAAGCAGAGAGACAAAGAAAGTGAGAGGAAGACAGTATCTTATGGGGAGAAGAAGAAAGTCGATACAGGCAGAGCAAAGTCGGTAAGTTGCATCAGAAAACAGGACATTTTATTGCTTTTCAATATTGCTCTGCAAGCGGTTCCTGATTTACTACATTTGAGCTGAAACAAAAAGCTGTCAGGGCATAAAGAAAGGTACAGATTAAAGCCATAAATGACTACTATACTTTTGACCAGTAGGCACAGATCACCAGTTTGCTGCTTTAGGTTGAGACATAAGTAACTAATAGTAATTTAAACAACAGTATCTTGTTCTCTTTCTCTCTCTCTCTCTCTCTCTCTCTCTCTCTCTCTATATATATATATATATATATATATATATATATATATATATATATATATATATATATATATATATATATATATATATATATATATATATATATATATATATATTTGAGAGATATATATATATTTTTGAGATATAACCAATTCAGTCTTTGTCTGTCTGCATTCTTCTTCATCTTCTTTTTCAGCATTCAGAGCCCTTGAGGTTCATTGCATCAGATATCACCCACCTCCATTTATCTTTCTGTTTTTTTTTAAATAGTTACATTTATTTTTTCTCTAGTTTGCTTAAATGCTATACTCTAATTGTATTTTGATATCTTTCCACTTTATAATCCATGTTAATCTGTTTTTTAAACACTATATTTATTTTCTATTTCTATTTTTTATAGTTGTCTTTGTTGCTTTGCGCACTAAATGAAATTTCTTTTTGTAGATTTCAGATTTGCACTCCATTTTAGTCATTCGTTAATTTGTATGCTTGTATTTTTTTTATTTCTTTGTTCTTTCATTTGCCTTGTTGATGTACACACAAACTAGAATTTTGCAAATTTTACAGTTTCAACATTTGTAATGCAATGTAATATATATATATATATATATATATATATATATATATATATATATATATATATATATATATATATATATATATATATATATATTTATAGAATTTTTTTACATTCATTTTCTATGACTTTAGCACTAGTGTATAGCAAGCATCAGCAAATGAGTATTACATGGACTCGCCTGGATTTACTGTGAGGGATATACAGGAGTGTGAGGAAATGAAAGAGCACATTGGTTGGCTATACAACCAACATTGACATGAACAAAAACATTCTGAAGACAACTAACTGGCTGACTTTCTACCCCACCAGGACATCACACAAGCGATAAACACCTGAAGACACAAAGTGCCACCATGTGGATGAGGATCACCGTGGAGAGGTCCCAGAAACCGCATTCAGCATTAGGCTATATTTATGGCCAGGCTATATTGTGGCCCCTGGCATGAGCCAGAGTAGGGCTTCAAATAACGAAAAATTGCATCCTAAAAAGGGCGGCAAGATTGGCTTCATAAGAAGGCAACTAAACAAAGAATGCTGATAGAAGAAATAAGATTAGATGAACTATAATGTGACAGAATATGTGAATATGGAATTAGAAGTGAAACTGACAGGGAGGAACATACAAGAGGAAGAGTGTGACATGTTAATTGTGCAACAGGAACAGCTACCATCTGCACTTTCAGATATTTGCTACTGGACACGGAGCATCAGCAGGTATGCCCAGTGCGCTATGATGTTGTTTCTTAAATTAGTAAGTAAATGTCACTCCATTTGAACACTATTGCTCCCATAAAGTTTCACATCACATGCCCAAAGAAGGTAGACAGTCACTTTGAGAACATGAATCCCCCCCCCCCCCCCCCCCCCCCGACCTATAAATTCACTGTGAAAGTGATCATGGAAGAAGCTTGAGTGTGCTCCTACTTAATGTAAAACATACGCAGGCACGCACACACATGCATACATGCACGCACGCACACACATACCCTCTTTACCCACAGACACAAACACACACACACACACATACACAGCAACAAAAACAACAAACAAAACAAAGAGAGAATACATTATATGGTGGCTTAGAGTCATGGAAAACAGCTAAACACACACTACATATTACCAGAGACTGGTCAAGTATTACAAGTTTGTTTACATGGGTTCATTAATCTGTCTTTGACAAGATGATTTTGATGCACATTTCCATGTATCTACTGTCTATAACACCCAGTTATGCAAAGTTGCCTTTCAATTTCATTACGTTTCATGTTTTCTCTGTGTTGATTGGTTGATGCGTCCAGGCTCTTCCAGCACTCAGTGCCACATGGCGACCCAAGGAACATAACTCTGTTTGCCCTGATCTATGGCACACCAAACAGGTATTCATTAATAAATAATATAGCATATTACCATCAGTTATAATCAAGGGGTTTACATTTTGATGCAAATTTATATTTTTATTTCCAAAAGTAAATGCTGAAATCAAATGTGTTGGGCCAGAAGATGCAGATGAATGAATAAATGAATGAATGAATGAATGAAATAATGAATTGAGAACTGACATCACTGCACTCAGGACATCCCCACACGATCTCCGTCTCCTTCTTCAGTAACCAAAGAAGAGCTGACATGCAGGGTGTGTGTGTGTACCAGTTGCAACCTGATTGAAAGTCTGCTTCTATTTCCTCTTCAATGTTGAATATCTTCCAGAATCTTTAATTCCCCCCGCCCAGTTTCATTAAGATGCAGATATCACAGCTTAAGTGTAACCCCCAAACCAGCATGCAAACCACCCTTAAGAAGATTTCTATGAATTCTAGATGCCTAGAAGATACCAGCCCAATTGTTTCGGATTCAAATCCGTATGGAGATATTTTTTCTTCATATCTGACCTTGGCTCTCAGGTTTTTCTTCATATCTGACCTTGGCTCTCAGGTCAGCTCAGCCTAAAATTAATACTAGGTATTTTCCTTGGAAATGAAGGCAGCTGGTGTGTTGCTGACCCTATTACTCTTTAATGCTGATAGATAAAAATATGGGTCTAATGATAAGCCACTTCTTCTTCTTCTGCCTTTCTATCCTCCAATGGAGCATAGACCCTCAACCAACTCACGCCAAGTCGTTCTATCCTTTGCCATTGCATGGAGCTCTTCCCATGTCCTCCCCATCTTTCTAACCTCATTCTCCAGCTCTCTTCTCCATGTGTTTTTTGGCCTTCCTTTATTCCTATGCCCCTGTGGGTTCCAATGCAAAGACATTCTAGTTATGCTGTTCTCCTATTTTCTCAGAGTGTGTCCTACCCAACGCCAGCATCTTTTCCTCACCTCCTGATCCACTGGAGCCTGTTTAGTTCTCTCCCAAATTTCTACATTAGTTATTCTATCATACCATTTTATTCCCTCTATTCTGCGCAGGCACCAGTTAATGAATGTCTGTAATTTATTAGTAATTGCCTTGGTTGTTCTCCATGTTTCCGCCCCATACAATAGTACTGATTTGACATTAGAATTAAAAATTTTTAGTTTAGTATTTCTTTTGATTTCTTTTGACCTCCACAAATTCCCTAGTGCTATTTAAGCCCCTCTTGCCTTTTGTCCCTCTACCCTGTATAAGTATTTCATTCCTGGCTATT